CCCCAAAACCCCAAAACCCCAAAACCCCAAAACCCCAAGATCTTTTCAACTTATTGAAATGTCTTCCAGAATTTTATGACTTTGATACAAATGATTGGATTGGCTTTCTTCTTAAGATACTAGCAGCCTTATGATTTTTGTGTAGTATACTTGATCTTGCACTCTCCCGAAGATTCTCTCTTATTTGAGATTGATCAATCTGAAATTTGATAATATCTATACCAATCAGTTAGAAATTTCAACGAGAAAAGAACTACCAAATACTTTTAGGAAGAATAAGAGAGAACTTACGATGAGCAGATTTCTTTTTCAGCTTAATCTGTGAGAGTGTCCTGAAGAAGTTCATCGAGGTCTTCTTACTTGATCTCACAAATCTTCTCTCCTTCCTAGTTCCTTCATAAGAATCTTTTGGAGAAGACATATCAAGAGGGAGATTAAGTTTGACACCTTCGTTAATAGGGTTGAACAATGCTTCTTCCTCTTCAAAGTCAGAGGGATTTTTCTGAGTCTTAAGCCTTCTTCTCCTTATTAGCAATGAATTTTTAGGGAAACTAGACCCATTATCCGGTTGCACATTTTGATCACCTCCTGACCTGTCTATAAATTTATTATTTAGTCGAAAATAAGAAGTCTCTTTTAACAAAGATACTTTGGAAATCCAAAACATTTCAAAAAGAGTGTTGCATAGGCTTATATCTTACTTGTGCTATTACCATCTTTGAATAAAGCTGTCTTTCTTCCAAATCAGAGGTTATGAACCTGACTAAATTTCTCATCTCTTCTTTCCTGCTCTTCGACATCTTTACATTTGAGTCTTCTGAAATTGATATTTCTCTTAATTTCATCACATGAAAATTCAGAGTTGGTGGCTTCTAGAGATCAGTCAGATATGTTCAAAAGAAGCCAAAAAAAGCATCAAATAAGATGACTAACTTACTCTTTGGCTTTTTCAGCTCCTGAATTCGAATTCTTCCTAAATATTATGAATAAGAATGGCACCAAATGGATGTAAAAACTAGATTATATCCAAAGAGTCCTTAAGAATGCCTACACAGATTCTTATTCATCTCACTGTAGTACATCTTCACATCAGCTCTGGGATTGTACAACACTTGATGAGGGATCTTGTTGGCAGACTCACACCTCTATGAACATTATCAAACCCAAAAATGATGATTTGAAATAAATTACTAAGGATTTGCCCAACATTTTTCATAATATTAAGCAGAATTTACTATTATAACCAAGTCTGTACATTAAGATCAGAAGAAGTCTTCTGTTATTAAATTTACTGGCTCATAAAACTAATTTACTATCTTTTTTTTCACAAAATTCCTGCCTGAACATGTTGAGGAAGAAGTAATGAAATATATATGAACCGAGTGTTCCAGGTTATTGAGTCGCAAAAATTGATTAAAACAAGGTTGACTATGCCTCAAGTTCTTCAGACTTCAAGCTTTTGGGATAATTTTGACAAAAGAAATATATGAATATTTTCTGAAATTTCGAACATTCCATCCAGAATTATATAAGAATCATATACTTCTCTTTGCAGAGAATTACTACTTACCTCAGATACTTCCTTAGAACTCTGATTTCTACTTGAGCATGGGCTGATCCTCCTTGTAAAATTAGGGAACCTGCTCTCCCTTCCAGATTGTTCATGAGGAGTATTAATAAGCTTCATAAACAACTTGTTCACTGGAGAGAATGACTCCATAAAGCTTTTATTTTCCAAAGACATTATATAGATAAGATAATTATTTTCAATTGATCTGCGATTATTTGGGGTTTTGGGGTTTTGGGGTTTTGGGGTTTTGGGG